GCACTCGGGGCTCCTCTGGGGACCTGGCCCGACTCTGTGACGGGGAGAGGGGGTGGGGGACCCGGGCGGGGCCTCGGTCCGCACACACAGAGCATCTTCTGGAAACGGTCCTTCCTTCCTTCCTCCCGGCTCCCCGTGGGCTGTGGATGGATTCTGGATTCTCCCCTGGGATGCTCAGCGTGGACCGGAGACACAGGGCGGACCGGCGTCCGGCCAGCTGCCCGGAGGCGGCGGCGGCGGTGGTGGTGGTGGGGGGTATGGAGATGGGGGTGGGGGTGTGCTGGCTAAGTCTCCATTTCTTTGAGGACCCAGGAAATCACCCCCCTAAGATATCAGTGGAGCCCTGGCCGGTGTGGCTCAGTGGATAGAGCGTCGGCCTGCGGACGGAAGGGTCCCGGGTTCGATGCGGGCACATCCCCGGTGGGGCGCGTGCAGGAGGCAGCTGGTGGATGTTTCTAGCTCTCTATGCCTCTCCCTTCCTCTCTGTGAAAAATCAATAAAATACATTTTTAAAAAAGACTTAAAAAAATTGATAAGGACCCCTGGCTGGTATAGTTCAGTGGCTAGAGCATCGGCCTGGGGACGGAAGGGTCCCGGGTTCGATTCCAGTCAAGAGCATGGACCTTGGTGGCGGGCACATCCCGAGGCAGCTGATCAATGATTCTCTCTCGTCGATGTTTCTAACTCTCTCTCCCTCTCCCTTCCTCTCTGTAAAAAATCGATAAAATATATTTTCTAAGGGGGAAAAAAAAATCCTTAAAATTGCTCGGCCCCGTGTGGCTCGGTTGGTTGGGGCGTCGTCCCGTACACCAAAGGGTGGCGGGAGGGTTTGATTCCCGGTCAGGGCTCATCCCCAGGTTGCAGGTTCGATTCCCGGTCCGGGCGCCAGTGGGAGGCGCCTGATGGGTGTTTCTCTCCCTCCCCCTCCCCCTTTCTCTCTCTCTCAACTCATTAAACTCATTTTTTTTTAAGTGCTGCAAAAAAAACCCTGTCAACCCAAACCCTTAAAACACACACACACACACACACGTCTTAAAATGGATACTACAGGGTTGTTCATTATCACATTAAAATTAGGTTTGCAAGTTCAGAACTTTCTACTTTAAAAATATTACCTGCGTAACCTAGTCTGACTGGTACATCTGTGCACATTTAAAAAAGGGATTGGAGGTTAGAGGCAATCAGACAGGCATGGAGAGTGGTTAGAGGCAATCAGACAGGCAGGCAGAGTGGTTAGGGACTATCAGGCCGGCAGGTGTAGGGGTTAGGGGCGATCAGGCAGGCAGGCAGAGTGGTTAGGGGCGATCAGTCAGGCAGGCAGAGTGGTTAGGGGTGATCAGTCAGGCAGCCAGAATGGTTAGGGGCGATCAGGCAGGCAGGCAGAGTGGTTAGGGGTGATCAGTCAGGCAGCCAGAATGGTTAGGGGCGATCAGGCAGGCAGGCAGAGTGGTTAGGGGTGATCAGTCAGGCAGCCAGAGTGGTTAGGGGCGGTCAGTCAGGCAGGGAGAGTGGTTAGGGGCGATCAGTCAGGCAGGCAGAGTGGTTAGGGACTATCAGGCCGGCAGGCGTAGGGGTTAGGGGCAATCAGGCAGGCAGGCAGGCAGGCGAGTGGTTAGGAGCCAGCGATCCCAGGTCACAAGAGAGATGTCTGACTGAGGCATGTCCTTGCAGGATGGGGCCTAGACCGGCAGTCGGACATCGCCCGAGGGGTCGTGGATTGTGAGGGGGTGCAGGCCGGGCAGAGGGACCCCCTTCCTGTGTACGAATTTCATGCCCCAGGCCTCTAGTATGTGTATAATTGAAAAAGGAGAGGGAGCCGAAAACCAGTGTGGCTCAGTGGATAGAGCGTCCGCCTGCGGACTGAAGGGTCCCGGGTTCGATTCCGGTCAAGGGCATGGACCTTGGTTGCGGGCACATCCCCAGTGGGGGCTGTGCAGGAGGCAGCTGATGGATGACTCTCTCTCATCGATGTTTCTAGCTCTCTATCCCTCTCCCTTCCTCTCTGTAGAAAATCAATAAAAATATATTTTTTTTAAAAAATAGGAGAGATTGGACGACGCCACCGGGTGGCCAGAGGACGTGTGCGGGGGACTCGCGCCCGGGGCTGCCCCCTCCTTCGCTCCAGGAAGGAACAGGCGTGGCCTCCTGTGCGTTCCCTCTTTCCTTTGCCGCCCGATGTATACTCACCGGCATCCCGTCCCACGTAAACACCAGCACAGAGCAGGGAAGGGCGCCTCAGACTGGTCTGAACCCCCATCTAAACTCCCGGGGCCGTGGCTAAGCACGAATGTCCTTCTCTTTACGGTTAATAAAAACCGGAGCAAGCACCCGGCGGGCGGGGCTCCGTGGTGGAGCGTCGACCCAGGAGCCAGAGGTCCCGGTTCGATTCCCGGTCAGGGCACAGGTCCGGGTGGCGGGCTCCATCCCCAGTGGGGGGCATGCAGGAGGCAGCCGATCCGTGATTCTCTCTCATCGTGGATGTTTCTATCTCCCTCACTTCCTCCCTGAAAAAAAATTTTTTTAAAGGGAAGGGGGGAGCATTCGTGCCCTGGTTGGGTTGCTCAGTGGTTAGAGCGGACCCTCAGTACACCAAAAGGTGGTTGGTGGGTTTGGTCCGTGGTCAGCACATGTACAGGAGGCACCCGATTGATGTTTCTCTCTCACATCGATGTCTCTCTCTCTTTCTCCCTCCCTCCCTCCTTTCCTCCCTCCCTCTCTGTTTCTCTGTCTCTCTCCCTTCCTTTCTTTCGAAAACCAAAAAAAAGCATGTCCTGGTGTGAGGATTTAAAAAAAAAAAATAAATAAGGCCCTAGCCGGTTTGGCTCAGTGGATAGAGCGTCGACCTGTGGACTGAAGGTTCCCAGGTTCGATTCCCGGTCAAGGGCACAGGCCCGGGTTGCAGGCTCCATCCCCAGTGCAAGGCGCGCAGGAGGCAGCCGATCCATGATTCTCTCTCATCAATGTTTCTTTTCTTTTTTAATATATTTTTATTGATTTTTTATGGAGAGGAAGGGAGAGAGATAGAGAGCTAGAAACGTCGATGAGAGAGAAACATCGACCCGCCACGGGGGATGTGCCTGCAACCAATGTCCATGCCCCTGATCAGAATCGAACCCGGGACCTTTCAGTCCGTAGACCGACGCTCTACCCACTGAGCCAAACCGGTTTCGGCTCTCTCATCAATGTTTCTAACTCTCTATCCCTCTCCCTTCCTCTGTAAAATAATCAATAAACTATATTTTTTAAAAGAAGTACAAATATTTCTGTTGGATAAAGAGAGGAAAGGAGGGAGAGGGGGAGAGAGAGAAACACCCATGATGAGAGAGAATCACCGACCGGCTGCCTCCTGCACGCCCCCCACTGGGGATGGAGCCTGCCACCCGGGCCTGTGCCCTGACCGGGAATCGAACCCTGACCTCCTGGTTGCTAGGTCGAGGCTCAACCACTGAGCCAAACTGGCCGGACTCAGAATTATGTTAATGGAGAAATGGTCTTTGAAAGGCAGGTCCCCTGGTTACTGAGGTCAGTGTGGGCGAGTTCCCGTAGGGGAGGCCTCCCACCTCCCGCTGTCCGTCCGCAGCCGCCCAGCTGTCCGTCCAGGCGGGTCCCTCCTGCCCCTTCCAGAGAGGAAACTTGGCGGCCAGGCCAGGAGGGACGAGGGCGACCGGGAGGCTCCGGGCAGTTGGCACGGGGCATATTCTGGGTCAGGGCACTGAGTTTGATGAAAAACGTCACCTATGAAACATGAGTGTTTATTGCATGTCATATTGTTTTTTTTTTTTTTTTAAATATATATATATTTTATTGATTTTTACAGAGAGGAAGGGAGAGGGAGAGTCAGAAACATCCATCAGCTGCCTCCTGCACGCCCCCCACTGGGGATGTGCCCGCAACCAAGGTCCATGCCCTTGACCGGAATCGAACCTGGGACCCTTCCGTCCGCAGGACGACGCTCTACCCACTGAGCCACACCGGTTTCGGCTCAGAGTCACTTTTAAAACTTAAGTGTCACTAAAATGGATTCAAAGTCACACTGCATGGAGTCGCTTAGACTAAGCCTTTCGAATAATTTCTTTTACTTAAAACAGCGGAATGAGATCAGAAATACGATTCACACTTAAACTCATACAAATAGATGCCTTTTCACTCCTAGTTTAAAATCACACAAGTCATTATTCTCACACAGTTTTAAATCCTTAAGAGAGAAATCAAACATCTATAACTATAACAGAAGGGAACCCCAGGGGGGCGGGCAGCGGGGGGCCACGTCCTCCCGGGAGGCCACCTGCCGCTCCCTTTCCCACGGGCGCCCCAACATCCATCCGCCAGGGAGGGGGCCTCCCCGCGCGGCCGGTTCCCAGGCAGGAAGCGCGCGCACCCCGAGCGGGTCTCGGGGAGGCCCCCCTACCCCACCGCGCGGCTGGTTCCCAGGCAGGAAGCGCGCGCTCCCCGAGCACGTCCCGCGGGGGGCGCCGCCGCGCGGCCCCCGGAAGTAGCGGAGCGCGCGCGCGCGCGCGCGCGCGCGCAGAGGGGAACCCGGGTGCCTTGGCCGGCCATGGCCACCGGCTTCGTGCGCCGCGCGCGGGCCCGGACGGTCCGTGCCTCCCATGGGGAGCGGCGGCGGCGACACCAGGGCCTCCGCTGACCCTCCACGCTCCGCCCCTCCCCGTGCGCGCCCGCCGGCCCCGCCTCCCTCCCTCCCCGCGCGGCTGGTTCCCAGGCAGGAAGCGCGCGCGCCCCGAGAGCGGCCCCCGGAAGTGGCGGAGCGCGCGCGCGGGGAGAGAGGAAGGAACCGGGGCGCCACGGCCGGCCATGGCCGCCGGCTTTGTGCGCCGCGCGCGGGCCCGGGCCGTCCGGGGGAGGCGGGGACACCGGGGCCTCCGCTGACCCTCTGCGCCCCGCCCTCCGCGCCCCGCCTCCCTCCCTCCCTCCCTCCCTCCCTCCCTCCCTCCCCGCCTCGCTCCAGCCCGGCGGGGGCCCGCCGCCGCCCCGCCGCCCCGATGCCCGAGCCCGGCCCCAGGATGAACGGCTTCTCGCTGGGCGAGCTGTGCTGGCTCTTCTGCTGCCCGCCCTGCCCGAGCCGCATCGCCGCCAAGCTGGCCTTCCTGCCGCCCGAGCCCACCTACGCGGTGCTGGCGCCGGAGCAGCGCGCGGGCCCGGCGGCCCCGGCCTCGCCGGACCCCGGCGCCCCGGCCGCCCCGGCCTCCCCGGCGGCCCCGGCCTCCCCGGCGGCGGCGGAGGGGGAGGAGGGCGGCCCCGCGGGCGCCTGCTCCCTGCACCTGAGCGAGCGCGCCGACTGGCAGTTCTCGCAGCGCGAGCTGGACGCCGTGGAGGTGTTCTTCTGGCGCACGGCGCGCCGCAACCGCCTGGGCTGCATGTTCGTGCGCTGCGCGCCCGCCGGCCGCTACACGCTGCTCTTCTCGCACGGCAACGCCGTGGACCTGGGCCAGATGTGCGGCTTCTACCTCGGCCTGGGCTCCCGCATCAACTGCAACGTCTTCTCCTACGACTACTCGGGCTACGGCGCCAGCTCGGGCCGGCCCTCCGAGCGCAACCTCTACGCCGACATCGACGCCGCCTGGCAGGCGCTGCGCACCCGGTGAGGCCCCCCGCGCGCGCGCCCCCGGGGGTGCAGGGGGGGGACGGTCCGGCCCGGTTCGGCTCGGTCCGGCCTGGGCTGGTGCTGGTGCCGGGCTGCGTGCGGGGAAGGGAGACGAAGGGTCGGGTAAGGGGGTGCCTCCTGGGCTGTGCGTTCGCCCCCTGGTGCGTCCTGGCCTTGCATCCAACCCCCACCCCGAGCCCGCGCCCCCCGGGGGGTACAGGGGGGACGGTCCGGCCTAGGCTCGGCTGCGTGCGGGGAAGGGAGAGGGTCGGGTAAGGGGGTGCCTCCTGGGCTGTGCGTTCGCCCCCTGGTGCGTCCTGGCCTTGCCCCCCCTCGTCCCCCGGGGGGCCAGGGGGGACGGTCCTGCAGGGACTGGCCCGGCCCGGCCCGGGCTGAGTGCAGGGAAAGGAGACGGGTCGGGTAAGGGGGTGCCTCCTGGGCTGTGCGTTCGCCCCCTGGTGCGTCCTGGCCTTGTCCCCCCGCCCCCCACGCGCCCCTCTCCAAAGGTTCCCGGGGAGCCCGGACTCCGGAGGGGTTTGCCCCCTCCCCCGCGCGCCCCCCAGGGGGTGGGGGGCGGTCCGGCCCGGCCTGACCTGGGTGCGGGGAAGGGAGATGGGTCCGGGTACAGGGGGTGCCTCCTGGGCTGTGCGTTCGCCCCCTGGTCCGTCCTGGCCTTGCACCCCCCCCTCGCGCGCGCGCCCCCCGGGGGGTGCAGGGGGGACGGTCAGGCCTGGGCTCGGCTGCGTGCGGGGAAGGGAGACGGGTCCGGGTACGGGGGTGCTTCCCGGCCTTGTGTCCCCCCCCCCCCGCGCCCCCTCTCTCCAAAACCCCTTCCCTCCCCCCCAGGTTCCTGGTTTGTCCCCCCCCCCCGTGCGCGCCCCCCGGGGGACAGGGGGGAACGGTCAGGTCTGGCCCACCCGGCACGGGAATGCCTCTTGGGCTGGTGCGTCCTGGCCTTGTCCCCCCCTGCGCCCCCGTGCGCCCCCTCTCCAAAGCAAACCCCTTCCCTCCCCCCCCAGGTGCCTGGAGAGCCCGGATTCCGGAGGGTTTTGCCCCCCCACCCCCCGCGCGCCCCCGGGGTGTGGGGGGCTGTCCGGCCCGGCCTGGTGCTGGGCTTAGGGCTGCGTGGGGGGAAGGGAGAGGGTCGGGTAAGGGGGTGCCAACTGGTCTGTGCATTCGCCCCCTGGTGCGTCCTGGCCTTGTCCCCCGCCCCCCACGCGCGCCCCCCTCACCAAACCTTTCCCTCCCCCCCAGGCGCCTGGGTGCCCCCCAGCCTTTCCCCCTGCCTGGCTGGCTGGGACCTCTGTGGCTCTGGTCCCCCCCCCCCCCCCCGCAAGGCCAAAGGGCGCGTGGGGGCTCCCCGGCTGGGTTGGCGTGGAGTGTGTGTGTGTGTGTGTGTGTGTGTGTGTGGTGCCACCCCGGAGGCGGGAGGTCCCGGGGCTCCCGTGACCTTGGGCCGGGCACAGGGCGCCTGGAGACCTCTGTCCGTCTGTCTGATTCCTGGAGTGAGGGGGGCCGACCCTCCCCAGAGGCATGGAGCTGGGGGTGCGGGGTCCTGAGGGGCAGCAGCATCGGGGTGGCCCTGGGCAGAGCTGGAGGGGTGCCCCGGGGTGTGAAGTTGGCACCCTGATGGGCAGGGTGCGAGGGGTGCCCACCTGCCCTGCCGCCTGGCAGCCTTCCCCCAGCCTGGGCGCACCCCTGTGGCCTTAACCCCCCTCCCTACACAGCTTTGAGCCCCCCAGCCGGTGTGGCCCAGTGGGTGGAGCGCCGGCCCGCGGACGGAAGGGGGTCCGGGTCCGATTCCTGGTCAAGGGCGCATGCCCAGGGCTTGGGGGTTCTCCTTAGCTTGGATTGGCATCCGCAGGAGCGGGGACGGGGCCAGGTTCACGTGGAGGGCCATCCAGCCGGGGCAAACCAAACACTTGAGTTCCATTCTCCCACTTCACCTGGCGCCCATTTTTTTTCTCTTTCTGTCTGTGGCTGCCCCTCCCCCGCCCGAGGTCAGTGTTAGGGGGACACACCCGGAAAGGGGTGTCTGCGGGGGGGACAGCCTCAGGGGGACAGGGCTGCAGAGTACGTCTGTCTGTGGGCATCCCCGTGGCCTTAACCTCCCTCCTAAGACGTATTGCTGAGCCCTGGCCGGTGTGGCTCAGTGGGTAGAGCGCCGGACTGTGGACCAGAGGGTCCCGGGTTTGATTCCCGGTCAAGGGCGCCTGCCCCTGGAGGCAGCCGACCCGTGATTCTCTCTCCTCATGATTCTCTCTCTCCCTCTCCCTCTCCCTCTCCCTTCCTCTCTGACATCCATAAAAATAGATTTTTTTAAAAAAATTATTTTCTTTTATTTTTTTAATTAATTTATTTGATTGGTTATGGTGTCACATTATTGTCCTTATTCCCATCCCAATCCCCTCCCTACATATGCCCCCACCCCCCTGTTGTCCGTGGCCACTGGCCAGGCCCATGGGCACGCCCACGAGTCCTTTGGTTGATCTCTCCCCCTGACCCCCACCCTCCCCTGCCTTCCCTCTGAGGTTTGAGAGTCTGATCGGGCTTCCCTGTCTCTGGGTCTGTGTTCGTTCATCCGTGTATGTTGTCCGTTATTTCCTCTAGATGCGTGAGACCGTGTGATCCAAGGAATTCCCTTGGAAGAACCTAACCTGAGACAAGCCGTCATAAAAACAGATTTTAAACAAACGTAAAAATAAAATGTGCAGACGGGCCTATTCGGGGATCCTGTCCCCGGGGAAAACAAAAGGCGTGGCCACCAGGAAGTACTGAAGCTGTCACACCTGTGGCCTCTCCGAGGGCTGAGGTCCCCGGTCACGGGAGTCACGGCTGTTCCCGGGCAGACACGGATGTCGTGTGCAAATGCGTTGAGTCAGAAGCCACAGGTGGTTCTCAGAGCCGCCTGTTCCCGGAAAGGCTGCCAGACGTGTGTTTTGCACACGGTCTGGGGGGCGCTGGGATTTGCCGTCGGTGACGGAGGTATTCAAAAGAGGGGCGTGGCTCAGGGGTTGGGCATCCACCTAGGAGCCAGGAGGTCAGGGTTCGATTCCCGGTCAGGGCACGTGCCCCGTGGCTCAGTCTGCAGGGTGGGGCCTCGTGCAGAAGGCAGCCGATCCATGATTCTCTCTCATCGTGGATGTTTTTCTCCCTCTCCTCTTGTCTCTGAGATATGTATGTGTATACATACACACACACACACACACACACACACACACACACACGTATATATGTGTATAAAATAAGGGTTTGGCATTAGGCTTTTTATTTTTTTTTTAATTTATTTTATTTTTTAAAATATATTTTATTGATCCTTTACAGAGAGGAAGAGAGAGGGAGAGAGAGTTAGAAACATCGATGAGAGAGAAACATCGAACAGCTGCCTCTTGCACACCCCCTACCAGGGATGTGCCCGCAACCAAGGTACATGCCCTGATCGCCCCTGACCGCCCTCCCCCGCCTGCCTGATCGCCCCTAACTGCCCTCCCTGCCAGCCTGATCGCCCCTAACTGCCCTCCCTGCCGGCCTGATTGCCCCTAACTGCCCTCCCTGCCGGCCTGATCGCCCCTGACCGCCCTCCCTGCCGGCCTGATCGCCCCTCACTGCCCTCCCCGCCGGCCTGATCGTCCCTAACTGCCCTCCCTGCCGGCCTGATCGCCCCTGACCGCCCTCCCCCGCCGGCCTGATCGCCCCTAACTGCCCTCCCTGCCGGCCTGATCGCCCCTGACCGCCCTCCCCCCCCCCTGCCTGATCGCCCCTCACTGCCCTCCCTGCTGGCCTGATCGCCCCTAATCGCCCTCCCTGCCGGCCTGATCGCCCCTGACCGCCCTCCCCCGCCTGCCTGATTGCCCCTAACTGCCCTCCCCGCCGGCCTGATCGCCCCTAACTGCCCTCCCCGCCGGCCTGATCGCCCCTAACCGCCCTCCCCTGCCGGCCTGATCGCCCCTGACCGCCCTCCCCTGCCGGCCTGATCGCCCCTAACCGCCCTCCCCTGCCGGCCTGATCGCCCCTGACGGCCTCTGCCTTGGCCCCTCCCGCCGTGGCTTTATCTGGACGGGCGTCCGGCAGATGTCGGTCTTTCAGCACAGTGCCCCTTGATCAGCACTCATTCCTGGAGGCCTGTCCCGGCCTGCCCTTTGCCCGCGGAGGCAGGTGTGGCTGCGTTGCGACATCTGTGAGGCGCGGCCACTTCCTGGAGGCTGGGGTCACGCCGGGGTGAGCGCAGGGCGCGGCTCTGGGACAGGGCTTCGCCCTGGATTATCTGATGAGTGCCTGCCCTCTGCCCGCGGTGTGTCTGCCCTCTGCCCGCGGTGTGCCTGCCCTCTGCCCGCGGTGTGCCTGCCCTCTGCCCACGGTGTGTCTGCCGTGGAGACGGAAGCGCCACCCTCCCCTGCCCGGCCCGCCCGGCCACGGAGGCTCTTGGGGTTCGAAGGAGCCGTGCACGGCCTCTCGCCCTGGGCTTCTCACACTTTTATTCACAATTATCATTATTTATTATTATTGTTATTGTTATTATTCCGAGGGGCCCGGTGCATGAAACTCATGCACGGGGGGAGGGGTGACCCCTCAGCTCAGCCGGCACCCTCTCCCATCTGGGGCATCCCTCTCACCGTCCAGGACTGCTGGCTCCCAACCGCTCGCCTGCCTGCCTGCCTGCCTGCCTGATTGCCCCTAACTGCTTCTGCCCACCAGCCTGATCGCCCCCTAACCACTCCCCTGCCAGCCTGATTAATGCCTAACTGCTCCCCTGCCAGCCTGATGGCCCCTAACCACTCCCCTGCCAGCCTGATCACCCCCTAACCACTCCCCTGCCAGCCTGATCAATGCCTAATTGCTCCCCTGCCAGCCTGATCACCCCCTAACCACTCCCCTGCCAGCCTGATGGATGCCTAACTGCTCTCCTGCCGGCCCGATTGCTCCCAACTGCCCTCCCCTGCTGGCCTGGTCACCCCCAATTGCCCTCCCCTGCTAGCTCTGCCACATGCGGCTCCTTG